GCTTCATTATATCTCCATATATAGATTCCAACACTTGTCCAAGAACATACAATAATACCTAAATCAATATATGGCCAAAATTCTGAAAAATATTTCATTTTCATTTTTAAAAAACTTTTTGTTTGTATAATCATCATGTAAATAATAAACATCATATATAGAATACTACAAATCAAATGAGTACTTGATGAAAATACTAAAATATGAGAGAGAAGAAAATATTTTCAATGAAAAAAAAAAAAGAATCAAACTAACTTTCAAATGAAAATGGTTGAAAATCATATTGAGGATAAATTCCACCTGTAGATAAAAATTCAGTAAGAAGAGTTATTGATGTAAATAACTGAACATTTGGATTATATAAACTAAATTCAATTATCACTGCTCTTGTTTTATTATCAATCCATCCTAGTTGATGAAGTTTAGATAAATTTGTTTGAATATCATTTAATCGACCTCGAAATTCATATACATAACCACCACTACTATACGTTTCAAAGTCACCTAGAGAAATATATGAATCTAATTGATCATCATTTTGATATTGAAATGATTGAAGAATTGTTGAACTATATTCGATTTGTCCTACTGTTTCATTATTTAGTTTCCATCCAGGTTGAAAAGAATCTTTTTCTTCATTTAATAAATCATAATCATTTTCACATATTAACATAAGATTTTGTTTGTTTGAACATAATTGTTGTTTAACACGTAGTTGTCTCATTATTATCCATCCAATTAATCGATTTGATTTATCATTAACAAAACCACTTAAATTTCGAGGTGCTTCACCATTATACCATTGTTGAGCTCGACTATTTTCGACAAAACTATTTTCTAACCAATTCCAATAGTCACTTATGGTTGTAATCTATTATTTCAAATATTTGATTTATTATTAAATTAACAACAAAAAAAAACTAAATCAAACCGTGGTATAATCTTGATCAACTTGTCTAGTGTTTAAAAAGAAATTTTGTAAATGTTGAACTTGATAAAATCCATTAGGATTTGTATTTGAAAAACAAATTACATAAAGAAGACAAATAAAACATAAATATGTTACTATTTCTTTTATAATTGACCACATTTTTGCTTCTTTTATACATTCATTTCTTATTGCATCTAATTGATATTTAGTTAATCGATGTACATTTGGTTTAGATCGATAAATAAAAGGTGAACTTTTCTATAAAAACAAATTATATTAATTACTATATTTTTGAATAAATAAATAACAAACTTTATCTGATTGTAAATATTCTTCATTATCATCCACATAAATATCTCCATTATCATCAATAGTTTCATTTATTTCCTTATCATTTTGAGATTTTCGAATAAAATAAGCAAAGAATATTATTAATGCTATAATCTTTAATTGAAAATAAAAATAAAATATTTGAAATAATTTAAAAATTATATATAGATATAGATATACTTTTAATGGTTGAACAAGGAAAATTGATGAAAAGAAACTAATGATTGATGATGTTAACCATTTTTGTGTTTTTAAATCACCAAATTCAATTCCTTTAACAA